TAGTCACCAACCTGTCTTTTGAACAAAATGATTTCTAGTAGAATTAATCTGGATTTAATGCCATAGTATTGGAAACAGTTCAGTCATCTACGACAGGGTTATTATAAAAATGTAAACGAAACGACCCGCAGTTACCTGTTCTCTTTTGTTAACGTAATCCAATTAAACAAGTGAGTTTGTTCAGTTTTATGACGACAGAGGCAAATGGCCGCCGAGCAACGAAACCCATTTAATTATCTGTTTACTGCCGATGGCTGATGGGAAATAGTTCGCTAAAGACAATTACAAATATCGATGATTCTGTCATAAAATAGCGGATGGTGGTTGTGTGAATTTGCAATATAGATCTTCCTAAGATTTCGTGGGAAAAAAATCAATAAGAAAATGTCGGGTTCTTTACAAACAGATTTTCAAATAACAAAACAATTTAATACCAATTGGGTAAAACTGATCTTTTTTTTTCCTGATTTTTAAAATCATTAAACAGCCAAGCTTCAATTGCGTAACATATTTTTTTCATTTATTTCCATTGATTCAGAGTGAGAACTTGTAGACCCGAGTTCAAATTCCAGCCGAGTTCATTAGATTCACTTTCGCACAAATACTCTTGGGAAAGGCATGAAACCATCTCTTCCCCTCCTAGCAATGGTTCGTTGCAGTTTCTCTCATTTCAGAGCGTTTAACAATGCCTAATTTCACTTCTGTGTTGATGGCTTTACTTTTTTCGAAGCACTTCCATCAGAACGGGCTGCAACTTCGCTTGGGAGTCATAATGATAGTTAATAAGTTTTAAAAAACAAAACCCAAACGAAAGGGATCGAATGCACAACGATTCAGTATGGCGTACAACACTGAACTGAGCCACGACGGTTTCTTCACGCTTTTCTCTCAAGGGCCGTTTCACCACATAGTCTTCCACCGAGTCATGTATTCTTCTGCCGAGTCGCGTATTCTTCCGCCGAGTCGTGTGTTCTTCCGCCGAGTCGCGTATTCTTCCGCCGAGTCGTGTATTCTTCCGCCGAGTCATGTATTCTACCACCGAGTCGTGTGTTCTTCCGCCGAGTCGTGTATTCTTCCGCCGAGTCATGTATTCTTCCGCCGAGTCGTGTGTTCTTCCGCCGAGTCGTGTATTCTTCCGTCGAGTCGTGTATTCTTCCACCGAGTCATGTATTCTACCTCCGAATCGTTTATTCTTCCGTCGAGTCATGTATTCTTCCGCCGAGTCGTGTATTCTACTCCCGAGCACGTAATCTTCCGCCGAGTCGTGTATTCCTCCGCCGAGTCGCGTATTCTTCTGCCGCGCCGTTTGCGTCGTATGTACGAGGCAAACGCCATAAGTCAAAACAAGATTAATGGACATTGCGCTGTAAACACGAATCGCCGTAGTTCAGGACCGTCGTAACCTGGAGGCGTGCCGTTGCTATCATTTTAATTTAAGAATTTCTGACGTCTATTAAATTGTCCTCTTCTTGTATTATGTTTTTGTCAGACATTTTGAAATGAGTCTAATGACGATAAAAAATGACATCGAAGACGATGACAGTCTAAATTAGACTGTCATCGTCTTCGATGTGATTTTTTTCATAGAACTTGAGCGTTAAAACAATGGCTCCTGAACCATCGCCAAAGTTAAGCAAAGTCGATCCTGGTCAGTGCTACTTGGGAATATCAAATGTTGTAAGCTTGAATGTGCAGGTGGTTTAATGGGTAACAGCCGGCTCGTTGTGATATAAATAACTAAAATGAGGATAATAGTCCGCATGAAAATAATGTTAAAAAAAGATCATAGCGAATATGCTATTAATAGGACCAGTAAAGTGACTTTTGCTTGTTTGAAGACGGAACTATAGTAAAAGCAGATTTCAACTTTAAATAAGCCAATCGGGTCATATATCTCGAAATGTTCAACAACCGCAGCACAACCCCAAAAAGAAGGACGTTTCTCGAAAGGCGCCTCAGATGAAAGTTTTAATAAAAGAGCAAGTGAATCTTATTTTCAACGATGCAACAAACAATGCTTACCGCACACACTTGCGTAACGAGCGATGTTTATTTTAAATACAGCCGCATTTTTTGGCTACAGTAAATAAATATATACTTTAGTCAAAGGTGTAGCAAGGGACAGCAGTACATACGCTAGTTTTATATTTCATGTATGATACGACCCTCTTAAAATTAGCTTCAAAATTAGGTCTTCAAAAGTAGCACGATACGCGAGTATTTCGTTCCATGCTGGACTGTGAAGAATTCTTGGAGAAATTTCATCACTAAAGTAAATAGAAAAACTGTAAATGTAAGTTCGAAATATCTATGAGAAAGGTTGTGATATGACCAATCAGAGAAAATTAAGAGCCTAATTTTCCCGAGTCTACTTTCGGGAAAAATAATTATTTTAAAAATCCACAGATTTTGATCTCCAAAATCAGAGAAGCGACTTTCTCCAAATTATACCAGGAGAGACATGTGAGTGAATTTGTCGTGTCTTCTAAAATATCAAATGCAATATTTATAAACCAATCACACTCAAGAAAACACTTACATCTTAAAACACACCAATAAAATCATAGAATACAAATCGGAACGTTTGTTGTATTAGTCATCATTATTTTAGGTAGATACCGACCAAATATCGTGCGGACGTAGTAGAAGACACACCAGGGGTTTGGAATGTCCAAGCATAGAAATGAATCCAGTGACAGGACCCAAAGATTTGTGAGTTCGATATCTGGTTATGGCAGGGGAGAACTTGAAAAGGGAAATTAATAGGAGATAACTCATAACTGACACCCATTAAACATGGCACGTGGAACTAGAACAGTCTACCCCAGTGAGTGAAATAAAGGGTTCAGTTCGACATTCGAACTACCTGAAGAAGGCCGGAGAATACAACGGCCGAAACGTTGTGATAAATATGGCGATAAAGATGAGGACAATAGTCCGAATTATGTAAATAGTGTACATAATACCTCATCTCAGAAATATACACAGATACTGAAGGGCCGAAACGTTGTAATAAATATGGCGACAAAGATGAGGACAATAGTCCGAATAATGTAAATAGTGTACCCTTGGGAAAGGTATGAATCCTCTTCTTCTCCCCTTAGCTATGGGTAAATAGCAGGATAGACCGGGTTCTATAGTCTTGGATAACAACTGGTCTACCGCAGAAGGAAATGGCGGGAAAAAACAATCCGCCACGTCATGTATCGAAATATATATGATCGCCTAAGCGTGTATCACGCATGTCACTTAAGTGACTGACTAGATACCCACTGCGCGCGCATCATTTTCAGTCAGCCACGCTTGAAATAAATTGTGGGTAATTAATGCTCACCATCATATGTGAAGATAATCAAACCCTGATAAACTGTGGAAAATGAGAAAGATCACTGGCTTTTATAAAGTGGCAAAAGATGGCGGTCTTGCAGAGAATTATGAAAACGTTTAAATGGTAAACTGATATGTCCTGAAAAGGGATATATTTGTTCGAAGTAGCAAAGTGGTTTTGGACTACTGTAACCGGGTAGGACAATCTAGCAGGTAAGCGTAATGGACTGGTCCTCATCGTAGTGGCAGACAATAAGCATAGGCAATAGGCGAAGACAATAGGCGATGTCCATGTACCTCCACATCAGTCTGTATATGCATATTCGTTACATCATCAACCAACACACAAGTCAAAAAACGCCTAACAATATCTTTTATTTCTTCCACTCAAATTGTTCCGTCTTGCTTGATTTTAAAGCATCCAAATTTTGTTTTAAATTTTCGAAGGCAATCATTTTTATATTACTGGAGAGAAAAAAATTACTGTCGTATTTTGAAAGGACTGTAGATGACATAAAAACATTTCTTTGAGAAATTATCCAGAACAAATGGTTGAAGAATTTTGTCTACCAAAGAACAACGAACTTTGTACAAATGAACTGAATGCTCCAAACTCTTGGCAGATGGGAAATTACCAGAAAATAGAACAAAAGTTGGGAGCAGTGGTTCTTAACCGTTTTTTTAGTCACAGACTCCTTTAGTCACGGACCGCTTGTATCACGTACCCCTAGAATAACGGAGCTCTATAAAAACTAGCATTTCATAGACAGACATATAGATACAGCCTGATTGTTTTTTGTTGTTTTTTTTTTTATTTGGACATGCATTTCTCCATACAGCACCTACCTGCACATTGCACGCACATCACTTTTCAGTAAGCAAAACTAGAAAAGAAATGGTGGTCATTGTATGAGCAGAAAGTCAAACCGTGATGAACTTAGTAAAATCAGAATTATCAATTGTTCTTATGGCGTGGCAAAAGATGGCGGTCGTACAGAGAATTATGAAACATATCTTAGTTTATTATTATTTAGAATTCAGACGTTAGGATTTTTAATATAAAATCCTGGGTGACTGAATTTCCTAGAAATGGGGACCCCGATGAAAAAAACCAACACCCTAGCGCTTTTATAATGACTAGTCCCGGCAAATATTTAGCGATATCCAAATCATCGTCGAATATGTCGACATAACGTTGGCTTGAGATTAGCATCGAGCCCAGATAGGTTATCGGTTTGTTCGTAGCCTTGAAAGGTGAACATGTGACTTTTAGAAAGACTATGGCGTTGACAGCAGCCGTTCACAGCCGTGGTGATCCTGTTAACGGAGGAGAGAGAAGTCTCCACTTTCACAGTGCGCATGTCAGACTGTAGGCATTTCCGGTGGATGATGTTATCGCGTCGGAGAAGTAGAATTGTTTGCCAGCAGAGATTTTCGATTTTCCTGACGAAGAGTACGGTGGTATAGATGATTCACGGAAAGAGAAGGAAGAATAAAAAAGGAAGAAGAACAAAAAGAATAAGAAGTGGAAGAATAGAAGAAGAAGAAGAAGAAGAAGAAGAAGAAGAAGAAGAAGAAGAAGAAGAAGAAGAAGAAGAAGAAGAAACGGAAGAAGAAGAAACAGGAGAAAAAGAAACGGAAGGAGAAGAAACAGAAGAAGAAGAAGAAACGGAAGAAAAGGAAGATGAAGAAGAAAAAGAAATGGAAGATGAAGAAGAAGAAGAAGAAACGGAAGAAGAAGAAGAAACAGAAGAAGAAGAAAAAACGGAAGAAAAGGAAGATGAAGAAGAAGAAGAAATGGAAGAAGAAGAAGAAATGGAAGAAGAAGAAGAAGAAACGGAAGAAGAAGAAACGGAAGGAGAAGAAGAAGAAGAAACGGAAGAAGAAGAAACCGAAGGAGAAGAAACAGAAGAAGAAGAAACGGAAGAAGAGGAAATGAAGAAGAAGAAGGAAGAAGAAGAAGAAGAAGAAGAAAAGAAGAAGAAGAAGAAGAAGAAGAAGAAGAAGAAGAAGAAACGGAAGAAGAAGAAGAAGAAGAAGAAACGGAAGAAGAAAACGGAAGAAGAAGAAAACGGAAGGAGAAGAAACAGAAGAAGAAGAAGAAACGGAAGAAGAAGAAACGAAGAGAAGAAACAGAAGAAGAAGAAGAACGGAAGAAGAGGAAGATGAAGAGAAGAAGAAGAAGAAGAAGAAGAAGAAACAGAAGAAGAAGAAGAAACGGAAGAAGAGGAAGAAGAATAAGAAGAAGAAGGAGAAGAAGAAACGGAAGAAGAAGAAGAAACGGAAGGAGAAGAAACAGAAGAAGAAGAAGAAACCGAAGAAGAAGAAACGGAAGGAGAAGAAACAGAAGAAGAAGAAGAAACGGAAGAAGAGGAAGATGAAGAAGAAGAAGAAATAGAAGAAGAAGAAGAAGAAGAAACAGAAGAAGAAGAAGAAACGGAAGAAGAGGAAGAAGAAGAATAAGAAGAAGAAGGAGAAGAAGAAACGGAAGAAGAAGAAGAAACGGAAGGAGAAGAAACAGAAGAAGAAGAAGAAACCGAAGAAGAAGAAACAGAAGAAGAAGAAGAAACCGAAGAAGAAAAAACGGAAGGAGAAGAAACAGAAGAAGAAGAAGAAACGGAAGAAGAGGAAGATGAAGAAGAAGAAGAAGGAGAAGAAGAAGAAGAAGAAGAAGAAGAAGAAGGAGAAGAAGAAGGAGAAGAAAGAAGAAGAAGAAGAAGAAGAAGAAGAAGAAACGGAAGAAGAAGAAGAAGAAGAAGGAGAAGAAACGGAAGAAGAAGAAACGGAAGAAGAAGAAGAAGAAGAAGAAGAAACGGAAGAAAAAGAAACTGAAGAAGATATATATATATATTTATATATATAGAAAGAGAGAGACAGAGAGAAAGATTAGGAAACCACAGTTGGTAGCATTTACTACTTTAAGAAAGTGCTCTCTCTCTCTATATATATATATATTGTACTAAAGACTTAAGGCACTGGTCGATTTATTTCGCTCTGTTCTGATGTTTTTAGTTCTTTCTTTTTTA